AGTCAATTTGTTCAATGAAATGAATGCATATATTTTAAGGATTACATGTAATAATTATGTACATATTTGCAGTACATATTTTACATATTCATCGATGTTCGAAAAATTGTTTTATAAGCATAATTATATACATATATAAAATTTTATTCAAGAGTGGTATACAACCTCAATTACAACATACAGGATCCTTATATTAATGATTGGAATAATATTGCGCATAACCGGTATATTTGGGCGTCCGTGGCAGAATGCAGAGTGGTTAAGGTCGTTGACTTCGAACCACTTGGCCCTTACCGCGGTGGGTTCGAATCACGACAGAGCATTTGGATTCTTTCATGTATGGAAGTTATCCAGCTAGCTTACGGAACGTCAGTGGTTCATCTAAGGTGCCCGCTTGTGCCTGAAATAATGCAGTATTGACTGAGTGACTGAACCTACAGATCTGATACTTTAGATCATCAAAACAGAAAAAAAGTATTTGCAGTTACAAGAGTATAAAATGCAAATAGTTAATTTTACAAAATTCACATGACATGGTATTGTAAGTGGTATAAGGCTGATAAATCTTAGTTTAAAAAAATGTAGAGACAAAATATCTTTCATTTGAATGTATAAGGAATGGTCCGGTAAAATATAAAGAATACGGGGATAATGCTTAAATGGGCCCCACAGAGGTTTGTGTCGAGACTAGTATACCATTTGATATAGGTCTTGACCAATAAATGGTGATCATTCACTCACTTCGTTTTTACTGAATTATCATTCTAGCTTTCAATTCAAATCTGGCTACAAATCACACACAAAATCACTGTACAAATATATTATAGTATATTTCATTATTATCATTTGCATATTTTTCCATGTTTTGCCCCAGTTTATCTATGTAAGAATAGCATTACTTTTATGTTTTATGTTTTTAGACCGCCGTGATGTTTCTTTTAAAATACCATTGCGTGTCACGTCCCACTCTTGTTACCTCAAGCTGTGAAAACATATAAAAAATCTGCGAGCATTCCAACAAATGATCACTTCTATAATGGGACTGTCAGTATGTTAACATAAAGTTATTAAGGAAACAATGTAATGCTTAATATAGAAGAAACAATGCTATCTCGATTGATGTCACTCTTCACTACGTGATTCCAGGAAATGTTACAGGTGTAGAGTACTCATGTTGTACTCTTCTACAAGTGTTAGTTGGAATCGCCTACGAAGTAGTACTACTCGTTTAGGAATAATTATTGTTGCGTGTAATTATGGTGCCCTGTATGGATCACTTAAAACGTGATTTATTGGCATGTGATATTTTGACTTGACATCTTGTATTGCTCTATTCGGTATACATTGTAATATAAAAGTAGCGAGAAATAAACCTCCTAATGAGGGAACTATAATCACATGTAACATTTTAAATTTTGGATTTTAACATAAATCGTTGTACGCTCGCAAGTCTGTTTTTAGACCATCCCGATGTTAAACCTTAAGTTCCTTAATGTTGTAAAGTATCCGACAAAGAACAGCTTCAGCAAAGAGCGTGGGCATTAATTATGATGTTGATTTATTTAAAGTCTTTGACCTTCATTAAGAAGAAGAAGAAATATTTTATTTCGGTAACCTATACATTTACAGTATCTTGGTACATACAATAATTATAAATACAATAATTCTGTGGCAAAATCATGACAAAGGTAAAGAAATGAAAAATGATAAGGACATAAAAAGTTAAATTATGACGTTCTAGAAAAGAATTTCAAGCTGCAAATAATGAAAAAAGAAAGAACATCACATTATTATCATTCACATAAATAGTTCCAGAAATAACAACAAAAAAGATGTGAAAACACAACAGCTATCTAAAGTATAATATTACATGTCTATCTTTACCAATAAGGATAGATAGAAAGTTGTATCGATTTACATTAAAAAATGCGTTATGTATTAACAACTAGTGGTAACAGTTCTTGTATTTTTTTCATTGGCTACATCTTTATATTTTCTTAAATTTACAATATAGCTTTATTTTCTGATTGTAATAAATCAACTAATTTATTAATATATAAGGTCTTATATAGAAATACCGCATGTTAAATCTCCTTCGAATATCTTGTTAACATGGACAAACTAAAATAAAATAAACATAACTGACATAATCTTTCATTACTTTGTATTCTATTACGCCCGTATCTTCCGGTTTTAATTCTTAAGTATGAGCAAGGTATTCTAATTTTATAAATATTAATACGTATACCTTTGCAATTGATATAACTATATAAATATTTAGTACAATATTTTTTCTATGTCTGAATGCCACTTTTGCCTAAAACAATCATGCTTGAATTCAGATAAAGAGAAACTATTTTTGATAATTAATGGGTTGTCCTACGCATAAGAAAACTTAAATTCACTCCATCTCTAGCGTTGATCTCTTTCCTGTATCTAAAACAAAAAAAGTATTAGTATGGATCTTTACATATAATGTCGATCACATTTTGTTTTAGTCAGAAACACTGAATCATTTCCGGAGGTAAAAGTTTTTTCTCATTGTCATAATTAGTTTCACTAATGTTGTAAGGATACTTTTATCTCGAAATAGTCAAGGTATTGTATCAATTCTACGGATGAACGACTATTATAAGAGTTACACTATCGATACTTTCATCATTTCAGCAATTTCCTGGTACTGTATTACCTTAAATTATTTATTCATTAGAAATTTTGAAACATGATAAAGGTTCTATATAAGCTAAAATGATTCTTGTCGCATTGTATATCAAGTACCAGTGGCCTTATTATCAAAAAAAATATATGTTGTTGTTGTAATTGTTGTTGTTGTTGCTGCTGCTGCTGCTGCTGCTGCTGCTGTTGTTGCTTTAATCCAAATAATAATAATAAAAAAGAAACAAGAACAACAATAATAAAAGAATTGATTTATTAAATTCTAAGTTGTTTTGTGTCCGTTTTTCCTTGAATAATTTGAAATAGAATGTATGTAATACATTTTTTCATAAAAACGGATATTTGATATAATTTAATTAAGTTAACTGAAATATATTTAATGCGGCATCATCCATATATTGTTTCATTCTCGAACTTCAAACTGATCCAATTCCTGACATTATGTTATGAAAGAGTCTGCATCTGAAATTAGCGTGTCAATTAAAACGAAATTACATTTGAACCTCAGAGAGCGCTCTTTTACACTTAAAATCAATAGATCAAGGTTAAAAATTGCTATAATTAAATAATCGTAAACATTATTGTTCAAAAAATTATAAAATACACGCATAGCTATTTAAAATACTAAATTCAGCTGTCGCACGTTTGGTAGATAAATTATGTTGCTAAAGGTTCTTTAAAATATTTGAATGAATGATGTACTTTGTACAAGTGTTCTACTCTGTTCTGTTACAATATATATAATATGTTGTTAATGACTGAATATTCGTAGCTAACTTATAACAATACTTATCCACCTGTCATCAACACAACTAAAAAATATGATACAAATACTGTGTGCTCAACAGTCCGTCTGGTTAATTTAAGTTAACGTTTTGTTAAACAAAAGTATGCAAATGAACATGTTTTACCGGGGATAAAGGTATTTTGTATATTATTCAAATTGTCATGTGATACACACGTGGTTATATACTAAATTTTGAAATTATCTTTGTTGCATGAAAAAAGCAAAGTTAACAAACAAACAAAAATTGTTTTCAAAATTTTAACTTATCGCAAAACTGTTGCTTTTATATTTTAATCTGATTTTTGATATAGATCTAGAGGATATTGTATGTAGTGTAGATTTAATACTAAATTATATTATGCGAGCCTCTGACAAATTGAATGAGTTTAGTATTGAATCTTCACGAATTTAATATTTTTATCACAATTATCCAAAATAAGAATGGTTTAAAGTTAAAAGTGTCATTTTTACCCACCTATAATGCTAACATTTTTGCGCATTAACGCTTTGTTTGTATTTAACGCAAATGACGTCACGTCAAAGTGTTATTATATCGTTTTTTATTGCATGGCTACGCCGTGGTTTATGTGATAAGTTGACTTATGTCATGTTAAGATATTTTTAACACTTTATTCAAGACTCCGTAAAATTATCAAAAAAAATTCTTAATTATTATTACACTAACATGTTTTTCTTATCATTAATTTCAGATCTTATATTCAACATTTAAATAAATACTTATAATTACTTGCTTTTTATAAATATTTACAACAATTATTTTCTATTGTTATGATTTCATAACAACTATATATTTACTTGTTAAATTATCTTGATAAAAACGTGTCTGTGACTTTCAACAATTTGCATTTGTTTCTAATTGCTCTCAAGGGATCTCCACTTTCCAGAATTTATATACTCACGACAACAGGTGTAGAAGATTGTCCCGTAATATATATATCAATATTGCTATATTTTCTGGTCATTTGGGATCATTGATTACAATACTTGTAATGTGAGAATCAGACTCAGCTTTAGCAGGTAGGATGAGACATGTTGCATTATTCATTATACCTTAAGAAATAAATCTGCAATTTCCAGTGTTTGCTATTTGTCTCACTGGTCTCATAGGAACTCACATTTCAAGAATTTATATACTCACAACAGCAGGTACCCCAGTACTTCATCTCTGTGTTGAAATATATATTGTTATAGTAATTTGGGACCATTATTCCTTATTTATAATTGTTTCATTGCCATCTTTTTTAAGTATATGAAACATCGTTTCAAAGAAATCAAAAATCAAGAATTTTAATCACACGTTTCCGTATATTTACTATGTATAAAATTTAATTTTAAGCATTAAGCACAATTTGAACGACTTTTGACATAAAATGTCTTTGCCCGATATATATAATGTTTATTTTGCTGATTATCACTTTTTGTAAATGAGACATACTCTTAATCCTTAAGAACCAATTTTTTTAAGTTTTCAATCTTCAATTTGGAGAGTCTGCTGATGTCATACGGCTAAGGTTTGTATGTATGTTTTTGGGGGTAGTCATAATAACACAAAAGATATACCACAAATAAGCCATCAGTCCTGAGCGGTTTTCATGCAGTTGCCGTGAAATAGTGATTTTATGAACAATTTCCTTTTATTTAAGATTCTATACTAATTTGAATAAAAATGTACGTTATAAGGCAAACATTTGGTTAGTTGATTTTCCTATCATGCAATGCTTCATAAGATAACACAATCTTGGATATCATTTTTGAAATCACTTTTGTGATTTTGAGGGGGGGTAATTTTTATGGACATTACATATTCATTATCATAAATAGACTGAGTCAACGTTATTTCTTGACATTGTAGTTCTAAAGATGATACGCTATCCAAAATTAGCATAAACGGTATAAAGTCAGAAGATAAATTATCCTAGTTAACATACTGTTCATTATCAATTTTAGTAACTAAAAAGTCATGATAATACCGTTATATGTTGAACAAAATAGTTAACATTGTCTATTAATTAACATCTGCCGCATTGAAAAGAGTTGTCATCTTCTGATAATGATAATTTTGATTATCTGCAATGTTTAATGATTCTTTAACTTCAGTAAGTATATCCTAAGATTTTATCCTAAATGAGCCTTTGGGCTTAAATAGATGAATCAAAATAAATTTCAAATTACTGTTAGCATGTAATACAAAATCACAAAACGCTCAAAGAGACTACATGTTACGTGTACATGATTACATTGTATAAAAATAACAATCTTTAAATGTGAAACTAAGATGAAATGGCAAAATTAGTGAAGTAAAATTAATCCTTTTGAAATGATAAACAGAAACAATTTTTTGGCATATATAATATTGTCTTGTTTAACAGGCCCGGTATAAAATGCTGTAAGCTTATATTATCTCAGCCTTTAGATACATGTTTTTGCAAACAATCGTTTTTATTCGATCATATAAACTATAAGAAATCTTTATAACGAATTTTTATTATACAGCTTAAAATTTCATTTAAATGAAAACGAAAAATAGTGCATTGATTGAGAGATTCCAGCCGTGTATATAGATTATATGATAAACGTCCATTTACAAACGTGCAATATTTAAAGTTTTTCGGCTGTATCATTTGTGAACGTTAATAGGTGAAATAGCTGCTTTTAACAAAGATTCAATGGTTTTACAGCAATTATAATCAATTTCGCAAGAAATATGATAATATGAAATGAAGGTTAAAAGACTTTGAATCGAATCTGAAGATATAAAATTGATTGATAAAAAGAGTAAGTTTTCCCTTATTTCAGTCCGATGATTAAATAGTTGACTGTATTGGAAACATGCTATTTAACTTCCAACACTTCATTGGTCTGGTTTTATGAGGAAGCCAGAGAAGTAAGAATATGTTCCACCATTGAAGTAATTAGGATTACCATCAACATATACGACATCATTCTTGTTCAAGTGATATGTACCGGTAGCGCTCATCGAGTATTGTCCCACAATCTGGCTGAAGAGTGTCAACGGAGAAACATTACTAACTCTAAGATAAGCGTGGACATTTCCATAGATTCCATCCTCTCTTGACAGTGTCACTGAAAACGCGTAAAGACCAGGAATCCTACAAGTGAATAATCCGGTTGCACCGCTGAAATCATTTCCATAATTGACTGGAACTCTAAAGAACTTCATGGTTTGTCTTGACGATCCACCGATGATATTTGTTGCTGTGAATGCAACCCCGTAGTCTTAATAGAAGAAAGGAATACAGTTACATATATATCCTAAAATGTCACCACAAGTCACTTTTATACAACAGACCGTTTTCAATTAGACCGTTGATATTTTATCTTTAAACGATCAAATATACTTTAAGTTACAACTGCCTTGTAAATATATTAGATATATTATTAGTTATAAAGATTTTAATAGGTTAGATTGCCCTATATAATCGGTTTTTGCATGTACATGTATGAGCCTTACAACGTTTTAACAAATTTATAATACAGTAAACTTTTTTTATTTGAGAAGAGAAAAAAAAACATGAAAACAAATCATAAATAGCAGTCCTCTATATAGATGTAACGATTATTCAACAAAATGCGACGTTGTCAGTTTGCAGTATTGCAAAGTTTACTTTATTGGTAACTGTGTTTAAGATGTTATATAAGACATTAAAAAGTTTTTTATTTGTACCGTGAATATCAAAACCATGGACGTACCTGAGCACATAGTTGTTTTACAGTTTGAAGTATCATTTCGAGCATCTACAAAATAAAGAAAAATGTTGTGATGTTCTTTTATATAACAACATAGGTAAAGAGATAATGTGTTGCATGTGATGCGATAATGTGTTGCATGTAAAAACAATAATTTTATAAAAATATCGTCAATGGAATATGATGTTAAAGTAATTTACCAAATGAATTAAACTAATAATTCATGATAAAGATATAAATGAGGCAGTGTAATGGATCAAAGATTTTAAATTAATTTCAGATGTGACTTTTTTAATTTCACATACCAGAACATGGGCTGTTCTGACACGATCTCGTTTGTTCCGGGCTTCCATCGCAAAATTGTCCTAGTACTGAAGGTCTTGGGTTCGAACAGCTTCTTTCGCGTTTACTTACACCCCATCCACATGTCGCACTACATGAATTCCACTCTCTCCAACTGGTCCATCCACCATCTTGAAAATTTACAAATGTATTTCATATGATTACATTTCGTTAATTAAGATTGTTGTGTATTGTACACTTATTACTTACAGAACAACAGAGATTTTAATTATATTTCGATATTGTATTTGAAAGTAACATAGTTAAAATGTACTTAACATGTCTTATGTCTAATAATAATAATAATATAGTGTATAGTCACCTGCACATGCTTTTTCCGTGCAAATTTTGAAATCTATTGATTCCCCTGTGCAAAGGACATCTTCATCATCAGATAGTTGATTTAAACATGTCCGTTTACGTCTTTGAAGTCCTATATCACAGGAAACTGAACACCCCTCCCATGATAACCACGCACCCCAGTCTCCAAGTACTGCAATAGATGTTTTCAAGAACTCGGCCAATGTGGGTTTGTAGGTACAAACAAACTTTTACCGTCACAGCTTCACGGTGCACTACCATCAAAATAGATTAATTAACCTGTTGCGCTTATTTTCGAAGCTGCAACTGTAAACGTTTGTTTGTACCTACGGATCAGCTAGGAAGAAAAACCCGAATATTCTAAATTCCGGAGTAAGTCTATTTCAGACGATTTTGTAACACACAGTATTCGTCAGTCTTCCCGATTTACTAATGTCAACTAACTTATTCCGTGAAAGATACTTTTTTAACAAGATCAGAAGTGTGTAACATATGTTTGCACATAATAATGTGTTTCAGAAAACAATTATCATATTGTATTAAGTTACAATTTGCAATCAAAATGTTGAAACTTTGTCAAGATCTTATTAATATAATTTTCTTAGTACCATTAATGGAAAAATATCACATTTTCAGGCTTACGTTTTCACGTACATCGCGTAATTATAACACCTGTAGCCTATCATTGCTATGTCACAGTTTATCTTATACCAAAATCGGCCTATTTTATAGGACAAATCCAAACCATTAAACGTGGTCAACAACATTACAATGATCTTTGAAAGTCACGAGAAACTGTTTGCTGCAGCTTTGCCTATTTTGTTTTTCAATTTGTTAAATAAAGAATATATTGACCAGTTAACTTACCTTCCAGGTATCCGCCATTTATTGCACAATTCTTCGTTACTTTTTGCACGAATCGTGCGTTAATTTCACTTTCCTGCGTTACTGGATATACACGGTCGTTTATCCCTGCGTGATCGTAAGATGCGACTGAAAGTGTTCGAATTACTGGAGGTTATGTATATCCACAGCTTTAGCAGGTGAGGTGGTTTTAAGCCCTAAAGGTTTTAACACCCTAGGTTAGCCAGAATCGTCTTCCTTATGACCTAAATTGTGTTCGTGCGCCGTAAAACTAAAGTAAACAAAACGAATAAAAAAGCAACATACCATTACGAGACTTTATTTTGCAAGTCCTGTAATCAACAGATTCGCCACTACAAGCATCGTCATCTATTGAAGTTGAGCATGTTCGTCTACGACTTTGAATTCCTACGTCACTTGTACTACATGGCGATGAACAGCCGTCCCATGGCAACCATTCGTTCCATTTTTCACCGTCTCGAATTAAAAGTATTAGAATTTGATAAAGGTTATTGATAAATAAATTGTTTGTGTAATATATAAGAAATCGGGTAATTGCTGTAAATCCAACATTTTATTTAAATATAACTGAACAGTTTGGTAGGGAATATTTTCAATCTCTATTTCGTTTAGTTAAAAAAGTTTGTAACTGCATATTTTCTGACATAGTTCTTATCAATATTTCTCAGTCGACTGTACCACATTCAATTCATATCAAAAAATTGAAAACAAAAACAAAATAGAGAAAAAATAGAATCCCTAAAGAAAGCCCAACACGGCAAAATTGAAAATGTTGCAGGCTCGGTTTGATTGAGCCTGTTCATGGACGCAAGTTGTATATTTTCTCTAATTTAACATAAAAGAAAAGTGAAAATACGAACAATAAAAACATACATTTTATTTCATAAATTGTTCAAAATATTTCATTTCATACGAATTATATAATAAATCGTATTACTTACCACTTTCATTTATATCTGCAAAGATTGGACTTACAGATAAAGAACAAATAATTGTAATCACTAAGAGAATCATGATTCACTGCTAATGTACGTGCATGTGATTTCTTAATGTAAATGAAGATTTAAACTGAATCGTTTTCTGACCTAAAACGTTCCCACAATTCACTAAAGTTATGGTATGAAACTCTTCCTTAATGGCCTTATTTAGCCTTGATATCATAAAAGATGCGGTAAATAAACACGAACTTTTGCGATTTTATCTAGGAGGAAGTTTTGAAGAAGAAAATATGTTTTGATCACCTTTTTAGGATTTGAGGTGTAAAGATCAATGTTTAAGTTAAGGATGTTTTTTATTTACTGTTGCAAGGCCTGTGAATAGAGAATAGATAGCTGAAATATATGAATTTTATAACATACTCGTTTTGCAACTCCGTAAAAACTTAAGTGCACGGTCGTGAATATATTTTGACTTGACGTCATTAACGTTATACAAATATACTATAGTAGCGTTAAATGTTAGCGTTACACACACATAAAGTCAAGTAATATTTTTTCAACAAGACGGTATGCTACGTATACATGTATATTTTCCACCAGCCCTGAAGAGCTTCTATAACCAGCTCATAAACTGAAAATATGTAAAGTACATATAAAAAAGCATACTAAAAAACCTAAAATTATGGCAAATATCATTATTATGGTTATAAATAAAGATACATATAAGAAAAAACAAAACCTTGTTAAAAGTACTTGTTAAAGACTAGAAAAATATTTTACAGATTAGTCACACAAAATATAACTTGGAAAGAACATGGCCGATGTATAACGAAGATCGAACATATGGGAATAATACACAGATGTATGAATATAGCAAAAACTAATAAACTAAAACCCAATAAGAGTAGTAAAGTATAACAATCGGGTCCCTACCTGGCACATACGACAGTCGAAATTCGGTTTCTTATCATCTGTCGGTCTGACACTTGAACTGACTTCTCGATGAGAAATGTCTGAATGTGTCTGGTTACGAGTTCCACAGCCTGACTGCCAAGCGTGTGAAAAGTGGCAGACAGTCAAAAAAGTTGCAATTCATTCGGTTGAAGCCCAAACTCTACTGTGGCCCGGGACCAAAAATTGCAGATGGGATAATTTCATTGTAGATTTGCAATCTTTTGTCATAGATGTTCTCAACAAAATGTGTTTTCTTTTTCCAAGTTGTGTAGTTTGGGATCAGAATTATCAGACTTATTGCTTGTAGGACATTGGCAGCAGGAACTTGAAATTTACTGTGGACTGAGGAGTGCCACCTTATATAATGTAATAATGTCGAACAAGTGAATAAACAGCGGATATGTTTTAAGATGTTGTTCATTGACCCATGTTAGTCACGCCTTATTTAAACCTATAATATCTTCTGAAAAAAGAATTTTTGTAATGAACCATACGATTTCAATCCATTTAAATAGAAGACCACCAGTTTCATTTTGGTCATCAAGTTATGATTATAGGAATTATTCTCCAGACGTTTTAAGATTGATTTGATCATTTGATTAACCCAGACATTTCATTTAATAGGATGTGATTTTATTTGGTCAATTGGTTTTCCAATTACAAGTACTTCTTAGCACTTTGCAAGGTTCCAGTAACTATTCTCTAATATATTGACACGGTGCACTCTTATGTTTAAATTCAAGACAATATATTTTGTCTACCATTAGGTAAGATTTATGATTATATTATGGTATTGATTGAAATAATGTCAAACATTAACGGTATATTGGGGCGCCAGTAGCCGAGTGGTTAAGGTCATTGAAATCGAACCACTTTCCCCTTATCGCTGTGGGTTCGAATCCCGACAGTAACTTTTGGATTCTTTCATGTATGGAAGCTATCCAGCTAGCTTACGGAACGTCGGTGGTTCTTTTAGGTTCCCGTTGGTGCCTAAAATAATGCGGTATATATTGACTCAGTGACTTAACCTACATATCTGATACTTTATAACAAAACAGAAAAGAACATACCTTTAATTAACTCAAAACTATTTACAGTTACAAGAGTATAAAATACAAATTATACAAAATTCACTTTACATGGTACTTTTAGTTGATATAGGCTAATAAATTATATTTAAAAAAGTGTAGACGGAAAATATCTTAAAGGAAGGGTCCGAATACGGAGATAACTGTGGCTTAAACTGTCGCTTAAATGGACTCCACAGAGGTTTTTGTCGAGACTAGTATGCCTTTTGATATAGGTCTTGACCAATAACTTGTGATCATTCACTCGTATCTTTTTTTTTACAGAATTATCATTCTAACTGTGCAAAATGACTAAAAAATTAAACGCTTTCAGTCCAAATCTGGCTACAAATCGCACAAAGAAATACAATTTTCGAATTTATTATGAGTATATTTCATTATTATCTTTTGTATATTTTTCCATTTTGTGTAGCAGTCTATCTATGTAAGAATAGCATTAATTTTATGTTTTTAGACCGCCGTGATGTTTCTTTTAAAGTACCATTGCGTGTCACGTCCCACTCTTGTTACCTTACACTCTGATAACATAGAATAACTCCGCGGGCATTCCAACAAATGATCACTTCTATAATGGACTGTCAGTATGTAACATACAGTAATTAAGGAAACAATTTAATGTAGGTTGTTTGCTGACTATAGAAGAAACAATGCTATCTCGATTGATGTCACTCTTCACTACGTGATTCCAGGAAATGTTACAGTTGAAGAATATTCACGTTGTACTCTGCTACTGGCGTTTAGTTGGAATCACCTACAAAGTAGTAATTCTCGTTTAGGAATAATTATTGTTGTGTGTAATTATAGTGGCCTGTATGGATCACTTAAAACGTTATTTATTGGCATGTGATAGTTTGACTTGACATCATGTATTGCTCTTTTCGGTATAAATTGTTATATATAAGTAGCGAGAAATAAACCTCCTAATGAGGGAACTATAACAACATGTAACATTTTAAATTTTGCATTTTAACATAAATCATTATACGCTCGCAAGTCTGTTTTAGACCATCCCGATGTTAGACCTTAAGTTCCTTAATGCTGTAAAGTATCCGACAAAGAACAGCTTCAGCAAAGAGCGTGGGCATTAATTATGATGTTGATTTATTTAAAGTTTTTGACCTTCAATAAGAAGAAGAAGAAATACTTTATTTCGGTAACTGATACATTTACAGTATCTTGTTACATACAATAATTATAAATACAATAATTATGTGGCAAAAACATGACAAAAGTAAAATGATAAGGACATAAAACGTTAAATTATGACGTTCTTGAAAAGAATTTCAACCTGCAAATAAAGAAAAAAGAAAGAACATCACAACATCATTATCATTCACATAAAGAGTTCCAGAAATAACAACAAAAAAGATGTGTAAACACAACAGCTTTCTAAAGTATAATATTACATGTATATATTTTACAATAAGGATAGAAAGTTGAATCAATTTACATAAAAAATGCGTTATGTACAACTGTAATTGGCTACATCTATATATTTTCCTAAATTTACAAGTATAGCTTTATATTCTGATTGTAATAAATCGACTAATTTATTAATGTATAAGGTCTTATATAGAAATACGGCTTGATAAATCTCCTTCGAATATCTTGTTAACAAGGACAAACTAAAGGAAAATGATATAAATATTTCTGGTAAGTTACATAATTAAATTATCGATTCTTGAAAAGATTTCAACTGCAAATAAGAAAAGAAGAACATCACAACATCATATCATTCACATAAGAGTTTCCAGATAATAACAACAATAAAGGAAGTGTATAACACAACAGTTTTAAAGTATATATTACATGTATATTTTACAATTAGGATAAAAGTTAATCAATTACGATAAAAATGCTTATGTACAATGTAATTGCTCACTAATATTTTCCTAAATTACAAGTATAGCTTTATTTTCTGATTAATATCGACTAATTATTAAGTAAATCTTAATAGAATTACGCTTATAATTTCCTTCCGAATACTGTAACATGGAACAAAACTAGGAAAATATATATCTCTGCGTAAGTAATAATTGACATATCTTATTACTTTGTATTCTATCACGTCCACACTAATTAGTATGGATCTTTACATATAATGTCGATCAAATTTTGTTTTAGTCAGAAACACTGAATCATTTCCGGAGGTAACAGTTACATTTTTTCTCATTGTCATAATTAGTTTCATTAATGTTGAAAGGATTCTTTTATCTCGATATAGTCAAGGTATTGTATCAATTTGACGGATAAACAACTATTATAAGAGTTACACTATCGATACCTTACTCATTTCAGCAATTTCCTGGTACTGTATTACCATAAATTAAGTATTCATTAGAAATTTTGAAACATAATAAATGTTCTATATAAGCTAAATGATTCTTATTGCATTGTATATTAAGTGTCGGTGACCTTATAATCAAATAAATATGTTGTTGTTAACGTTGTTGTTGTTCTTTATTATTATTATTATTATTGTTATGGTTGTTGTTGTTGTTGTTGTTGTTGTTGTTTTTGTTGTTGTTTTAATCCAAATGATAATAAAAAAGTAACAAGAACAACGATAACAGAAGAATTGATTTATTAAATCTTAAGTTGTTTTGTTTCTGCATTTCCTTGAATAATTTGAAATAGAATGTATGTAAAACATTTCTTCATGAAAACGGATAATTGATATCATTTAAAGATCCTGTATGTTTTGTGATTGATAATGTTACTCTGTGTATACCACACTTGCAAAATATTATATATGTATATAATTATGCAAGTAAAACAATTTTCAAACATCGAAGAATATGTAAAATGTTTACTGCGAATATTTGTGCACATTATATTTAATCAATAAATTACATGCATTCATTTCTTATTTCTAATTACCTCCATTTATTTACATGAAATGTTAAACATCTTTATAAATAATGCTAATTGGAACTTACAATATTGACAAATTTTAATTTGAGCATCATATTTATGAAATAAAACCATGAAAAAAATGTGTTACAGGATCTTTAAGTTAACTGAAATATATTCCCGGGAGTGTTCATATCTGTCACCATTTTTGACAATGCTGTCTATATTTCTAAATTGGAGCCGTCAAA